TGTCTCCAGCTCCAAATTTCCCTTCCCACTATTACTGGTTTCTTAGGTGTCATTTTAGAGATTTTATCTTCTAAAGGGAGTTTAGGCTGGGGAAGGGTCCTGGACACTCCAACAGGAGGTGCAGAATGAGTCCTGCATTGAATGTGTAAGCATCCAAAGCTGTCACTTTGAGGCAAGAGCCTTCATTGGCAGCCTCAAAGAGAAAGGTGTGCTTGGATGTATGCTCTGGGCATGCAGCCTGGATCTGCTGGATGGACTGCAGAACTGAGGCAGCTCCTGCGACTGGCAATCTCACAGTGGCCTTCTCGACTCCCAGTATTTTTCCATTTGTTTTCTACATGGATTCCAGAAGAGTTCTAACAAGCCAAGCTATTAAGCATGGCTTAAAAAAAAACAACTTTAAGGTCAAATCCAGCTTGAGTGATGCAAATTCACAAGCAAATTGGATTCTGGAACCTCACCTTTACAAATCTACCTGCAAACCAATGTGCAGGGAATGTGTTTCTGCATCAGAGGCACAACTGGGCAACATATAGCCTAGAAGCTAATGGAGCACATGGGCAAGGAACATAACCTTTAACTCTTCCGTCTAGTTATCTTTTACTGTCTTAAGGTGACGTCGGGATAATTGACGTTTAAGTGTCACTGGACAGTGGCCTCCCAGCAGATGCTAAGTTGCCAGCAAATGCTATTAATGTTTGACTCAATTCTCCAGTTCTCCATAAAAATTGACCCTACGAATTTAAAAAAAATTTTATTACAAAACAGATATAATCACACAAAGGTTTAACTTGAAATATGGGAACAGGTCGGGTGAACTGGCTCACACCTGTAATCCCAGCACTTTGGGAGGCCAAGGTGGGCAGATCACAAGGTTAAGAGATGGAGACTATCCTGGCCAACATGGTGAAACCCCGTCTCTTAAAAAAAAAAAAAGAAATAATGGGAACACACTTCTAACTACCGCGCAGGGGAAGAAACAGAACTTTGTCAGGCATCCCAGAGCCCCTCCAAGTGCCTATCCTTGTGTAGTACTGATTTTGTGTTTCTTTTTTTTTTTGAGACAGAGTTTCACTCTTGTTACCCAGGCTGGAGTGCAATGG